TGACAGGATTCCATCTGGCCGTGGCAACAGTAACAGTTGCACAGTCTTAATCATTAATTTTTGGCATTTCTGGATGATTTTTGTTTTTTTGGGGGGGGGGGGGGTAGCCCTCCTCAGTGCCTCCCCCGTGGTACCGACACTGCCGGTTTCCGCATCCCGTGCCTCTGAGTGAGTGTCCCATGACCCCTCAGTGCCGTCGGGCTGATGTGGCCTTGGGGTCTCTTCTGCTGGATTTGAATAAAGGCAGAGATTCCGCCCCGTGGACAACATAAAGGAAGCAGCATCTCAGAGGTTCCTGGGAAAGAAAGGGTGCAAGGATGAGGAGATTGAACCTGGACGGATAAGTATCAAGCTACAATATGTTTGCACACTGTAAGTTGTCATAATCATCAGCTCAACAGCGGTTAAAATTCTAGAAGTAGAACACAGTTTAAAATTAACGTGAACTAAATAGAAATGTTTAGTTAATGGTGGAAGGAAGTAGTTCTATTAATAAAAGTTCTTCTGGCTCATAAAAACAAAAATAATGCCTTTAGGTATAAACGTGTACATCAAATGTGTAATAACCGTGATATAAGTCGGTCAGTGCACTTTAATCCATGCATTAGGCTGAACAGCTTTCTTTAAAGTTAACCCATAACCTCAGGCACTGATTGTCACTCAAGAACTGTCCCCATCTTAATGACATCACTGGCCCTGAGGGTGTAAGCGTCACTCGTACCTGACTGGGCAGCTTAGGGTGGTGTCACACCAGTTAAGCTCTATTCGGACTTACAGATCAAGCACCATCTTACAGAACTAAAGTGCTTCCGGAAAATCATCTCTGTTTTTAAGTATGCGACTTATCGTATGAGGAAATAGACATTACTGTGTCCGCTGCCTGCTACATGACTGTATCAACTTCTTGGAGGGAAAAATTATTTCAGGTACAATTTAAAACTTGGCGGTTTGTGGGATATTTGTGGCTGGCTCCCACAGCCCAGTCTTTACTGGGGTCAGTGTGCTGGGACCAGCGGAAACCCCAGTTTGAGCCTGTCCGCTGCAGAGCGCAGGATGGGGTGACGACGCTCACGGTCGGCTTAATTGATAGTTATAAAAGACAAACCAAACTCAAGTGCCACTGATACTTTATATCCATTACTGCTAACGATGTGTCTCTGCCTCAGGGCATGATCCCTCCCACGGTGGTATAGCCTTGACGTTTAATTATCAAATTTACATGCACAGAATGCAAAAACAGGCCAAGGGGATAAGCAGAGGACCCTGTTCGTAGAATTTAAATATATACAGCTTCATTTCGTAGGCAAAGATGCAGTGTTTCCTTAGAGAAATTAAATAAGAATATTTTTTTTGCATAAAATATATTTCTTCAGTGATATTACAGGTTGTTGGTGTGTTCTTTCCTATTACTAAAGGAGTAAATGGTCGCTCTTCCAACACTCACTGTCAGGCCAGGAGACCAGAGTACTGAACAGTCTGTGTGATAAAAACGATCATGACCCCCCCCTAAGACCACCGAAAACAATGCTTGAGAGAGACAGGATCACCCCCTACATCCATTAGTAAAAACACACAGACAGTGTTGCACTAGAAATGCTGCAGCAAGGCATAACTCAGCGATCACAGAGCCAGCATTACCCTAGGCTGATGAGCATGCTTATTGAAATCTTGTAGTTCAACAAGCAGTGCATTGTATCAACAAACCAATGGTTGTGGGTTCAAATCCCGGGGTGCCCACATAAATTCTTCCCTCCACTGTAAGTTGCTTTTCAGTGAAAGATAAATGAGTAGAATGCAAATGCCTTCAAAGGCACGAGGACATGTCCGTGAGAATGTCTGACGCCATGTGACTAAGTGGACAGTGTTCTGAATTCAGCATGCTGCAGTTTGGGCACCTCAACAGACAGCCCGGGTTTCATCACTGCCCGCCCTCCCAGTCGCTTGCACTGTATGGCACCGGTAATGTCACAGAGGCACACCCCCAGCCCACAAGGTCGCAGATGACAAGATCTCATCATCATGTTAATTTTCAGCACCTCCTCCTTGGTGACTTTGACAGTCACAGGAGTCACCGCACCATCATTTGCTGAAAGGACATGCTATGACGAAAAATGCCCACTATTTAGTTTACAAATATAGTTATTTTGGCTTTTCTTGGATCAGAAGGGGGACATAAGTTGTTTCAGGTTTGCATTTGCATTAGCATGCTAATACGTCTCTGTCCCTTGTAACCCCGGCTTAAATTGGACGTTTCTGTCCCCCAATCTAACAATGAGCATGAAGACGCTGCCAGAACACCGTATTAAAAGCCCATGGTACACGCTACATCACCCTCTTCAGTTGAGGAAGACTATCTTAGTGGATCTTTGTCACCATGTGTCACTGCTCTCACCAGGACGTGTGAGGCTCTTCTGAGGGAGACCAGCAGGGCAGATCACAAAGCCGTGAGCTTCGCAGGATGAAGATGATAATGTACCATGTTAGAGGGTCAGTATGTGGTGTCCAGCGCTCTCTTTGGTCTGGTCAGACGAGCTGTTCTCCATTATATGAGGATTCTGAGAATTTCACAGCAGGTGATTCCAGGGACTGTTTTATCACAGCAATGTGAACCAGCTTTCTAAAAAAAAAGAGTCCTGAAGTAATGGTTAGAGAAACCTTGAAGCTTCAGAACACAGTGGCAGGGCAGTTATTGTGCACCGTGGACAGGTCAATAATCCCCAACTGTACCCTGAAGCTTTTCCATGGTAGAGGCCAAGACCTGAGGACCACAGTGATGCTCAATGATTTGTTCACACTTATATATATTTATTCCGATGAGTATCCAGTAACGACTGCAAGAAAACTAAGGCGACAATAGGTACACTGACAGAATGTAGAACCAGAAATGTGAGTGTCAGTGGTGAAGGACACTAAACACAGAAACACTTGTCCTGTTTCTTAGATGAAGTCCCACCAAACTCCCTAACGGACAAAGAGGAGCCTATTTCAAGTTCTAATTTGGTCACAGTCCAAAACTAGTTTTGGCAGCGACTGGGTTAAGAAGGACTTCTTTTCTGCTCACGTGAAAATCCAGTCTGCACCCTAGCCCTACTTCTGACACCGTTAAACGACGGTGCAAACCTACTAATGCACAATCACTGATTTTACACAGAGAAATGCCTGGATTAAATTTCTATTAACGCCAAAACTATATAATTTTTAGGGAAATAAACATATAGTGGTCCGAAGTGAAGTCTTCTTCAACATGACCGTGCTCTTGCATGTAAATTTCAGAGAAGTTAGCGTCCTCTATGCCCGGCGAGTCAGTAACCTGATTAAAACATCCAAAATTGTCTTTACAGCATGCGACTCATATAATTACGGTTAATTTAACGCTCAGATTCTGCGTCATTAATTTGTATTCATTTAAAAGTAGTCTGGCACTGGCTTTTGAACCGGGGGACGGCGACTTGACTGTAAGTGAATGCAGGTCGCGTGGCGAATTAGCGCAGACCTCGTAGGCCAAATAAGGAGATTCCGATCGTTTATGCGCTATTAAGCCACGTAATTGGTCGGCCCGTAGTTTGCATATTACGCTATTAAACTAATGCGCTTTGCTCCTCTCTTAACACGACTGTTTAAGCCTCTGTGGCGACGTGGTAATGCATCGCATTACCGTCATAATTGCCACAAATGTTCTTTTGATTTAAACGATTTATGGTTAGGCGACTGCAATGTTGGTAAAATATAGTGCGAGCTAATCCAGCAATTTCTTTCAACTACTAAAACTTTGGGGCTGAGTCTCGTGTGTTATGAGTGTAATATAATACATTTTATTATATTTAATAGAATATATACTAATTGCGTCTTCAGCTGCTTAACTTTTACATGCTCGGTATGATATGAGGTTACTTAGTTATTTTGTATGATTATTGTATCTCATATTTTTAACAAGTGTATTTTATGCTGCCACACGCTTGTGTGAGGCACTAACAACATTCAGACGTTTGAAACAGCTTTACACTTCGTTTTTGAAATGATCATTTGGATTTTAAATAGAAAGCAAACGTCAGAATGGAATATATTAAGCAATAATCGATCGTCCAACTGATCATCCATCCATCTCCAATACCCGCTCGTACACACTTAATTCCATACGCAGTGCAGGTTAAGGAAAAGGAGACAGTAAATTTAATGAGTGTCTGGATTCTCAACTTCATAACTACAAGTACCGCTGTAAATATAGCTTATATTTATATTAAAGCACATTAGAATGCAATTTGAATTAAATCGATAATAAAGTTTGTTGTAGACCTAGGTTTTGTAGGAATTTCAAGAAGAGTAACCTTATACTGCATAATCTTGAAAATTTGTACTTTAAGTTTGTGTCCATACCTTCTCCCGGTTCTGTTTATGCTACAATACGTCCGCGCGGCTCCGGGACTCTTTTCTCCAAACCCATCGTGTTTCTGCCGTAACGTTTTTCGAGTCCTAAGAGTTTCCTCCTATTACTCGTGTTTCGCCCACATTCCAGTGACACGCTGTCCGGGCGACCTTGTGATTTTTACATTGACCTCGACGTGCGAGGACACGGCTGCGGTGCCCTGCCCCTCACCTCGGGGCTGCCTCGGATTCGCAGACACCGTTACTGGGAGAGGGGCTACCGAAAAGCAGACGGATGGAGCTGGGAAATGGTACACCATGCAGGATGCAAACAAGTGTTTGCAAACACAGCCCAATACTATTGTGTTTGTAAACAAATTGTTTCTTAAATGCATCGTTCCATGCTTTTCAAAATCATGTAATTAATTATATACGAGATCATTTAATTAATTGAACTATATCATAAGTAGAGACGTCGGTTAGACGCCGAAATCAGAACGAACTCAATAATTTCCAAAGGAACCAGATGAGATTATTTTTTTTCTAATACCTATTCAGAAGCCTGTCGTCTGCAATTCATTTCCATCCCCCATTCTGTCATTTCTTCTGGAAGCATGCACCGTGGAAATACTCCTTTAGATATCTCCGAAAGGGGGGTTCGGCCAGGCCGGCAGCGGCGTTGTTTCGTTTGTCACTCTCTATAGCAACTGCCCGCCACCATTAAAAACGCCTCCATTCAAGTGGCATCATTCCGGATTGCAAGAAAAACGGCACCGTCGTCCGAAAAGAGAGCCGAACAGCGCGCTTCTGCCGTCAGTCTTCGCATCGCTAAAATGAAATAGTGTCACTTTACAACTAAAATATATACACGAGGGGCTTATTACCAATACTACACTACTAATGTTTAAATAAGCTAAAGCTTTACTGTATAACTAGTACGGCTTTTATACATATGTATCTATTTATACATAGCCTAACTGCAAAACATGTCGTCATTTAATATTTTTATCATTTAACGGTCTTAGTAATAGAAGGAATGATGTGTTTTTGCGTAGCTCGTGAGTACGAGGTCAGTGTTTGGTCTATTATATGTGTTTCAGATAAAGCAGTATTTTGTATAAAAAGCAGAGTTTAATATTATTTAAAAGCTAAAACAACCAAAAGACCGCATTGGTGTGATGATCTGCGTCTCACGCATCCGAGGAAGCGCGAGTCTGTGGCACCACTTACAAACACACGGTCTGGCACAAACATTGGCTAAATGTCGTTTTGGCACCATTTGTACTCCGAAATCTATTTTCCATTCACCGAGACCAAATCTATGCGCGATCTCCATAGAACCGGCGTAAAGGTTCCATCTGTCTGTGTACAAGTTTGTTTTACACCTCGGTACAGAAAACCATCATGCCGTTGACATTTATGCACTTGGAATCGGATATTTCATGCCTGCTGGAAATAGAGAAAAATCTTTGTTATTTACAGTTTACTAAAATAACAGCCTAATTTAGGCTACCTTTTCAAAAAAACCCGTGTATATTCATAGCTTTTAAATAATTTTCCTATTATTAATTTCCATTTCTATTTCAAACTAATAAACTTTTTTTTTTTTTACTTTGTTGCAATCAAGAGGACATTCATGAATTCCCATTTGAGGTTCAAAGCGTTTTTTTCCTTTAAAACATTATTTCATAATTTAAGTGCGTCATATCCATGTTGTGTAATTAACTTTTGGCGTAATCATTGGGAAATAACAGCAAAGACTTAATCCGTAAATTATTTGAAATGATATATGATTTTTTTTATCAAACAAAACAAAGATCATCGTTACTTTTAACACTGTCACATTTAAAAAGCAAAACCCTTCGATTGACGTACTATTATTAAAAACTTACAATATGCGAGATTTAGACCCCTATGCATTCAAATAGTTAGATTTATATATATGTGTGTGTGTGTGTGTGTGTGTGTGTGTGTATATATATATATACACACACACACACACACACACACACACGTGCACGAATTAAAAACGATCATTTGTACGAAATAGTATACCTACTTCACAGCAACTGCTATCTTACTGACTTCCAATCAGCCACATAACACACCACACTATAGTCTTTTGAATTCAGATAAAGAAGGTGACGCAATTGTGAATTTTCTCTCCATTAGGCATCTCTCGCTATCGCGAGGTGGGTAAAGGCTGGGCTGTCGTACCTAAAACTGAAATGTCTGTTTTGGGATGTATTGTCAGCTCTCAAATCCCTGGTACAAAAAACATATTACCACTAGCTGTAATGGTATTTCAAATATAAAATATTTTGTATAAACCCCCACGTCAGATCAGCTTGCAGCGAACGCTTATCGCGTCACAAGGTACATGGCAAAAGTGCAAGGTGGCTAATTAAACGTGATATTTTACATCGACTGTTCGCGAAAGTTAATGTGCGCGCTTCCTCTGATCGTTCTCCCTGCTGCTGTCGTGTCGCGCTTCGACTCTACAGGGGAACTCGCCTGGGGCAGGCAAAGCAGTCCTGTGGGGGATCTCAGGAGGTCCACGCACTGGATGCTCCGAGGGACAACCGCATCCATCAACCACCGCAGCCAATAAAGAGCGCAGTAGGGCGGAGCTCATGTGTTCGGGTCTGCATCCACTTGGCGAGGGTCCTACAGGCAGCCTGTGGCTGAAAGTAACTGTCAAATGCGCGGCTCCTTTAATGAGAGCGATCAGTCTGAGTCCGAGACTCATGGCGACTACAGCGTCTAATCATTACAATATACTCACCTCCAGCGCGTCTATCGCGCATTCCGAGCCGGGGAGCATGCAGCAAGCGACGACGTACAGAGATGGACAGAGCCTGCTGCAAAGTGAATACGCACTGCAGGCTAATAGTCACCCGCTTAGCCATGCACATCAGTGGATAGCCGCACTGTCACACGGTGAAGGAGCCCCATGGTCCTCCGGCACCATCAGCGATCCAGACGTCAAGCCCGCCGTGCAGAGCGCCAGGGACGAATTGCACAGTTCCAGCAGCTTGCAGCACCAACCGCGGCACCCTCATCTGGTACACCAGCAGCACGGAAACCATCTAAACACAAGAGGATGGAGAACGACCACATCCTCTCACACGCAGAGCATGGCTACTAATAATAGCCAGAGTCTGATATACGCTCAGTCCGGATTCCCCATCAACGACTTGGTTACCGGCAGCAGACAGCCAATGCACCGGCACACCCTGAGAGACACCGAGGAGGACCACCACAGCCCGCTCATCAGTGACCAGGGCCACCCGGCGCCGCAACACCAGCACGACCACTCAGATGAAGACACACCAACCTCCGACGATTTGGAGCAGTTTGCCAAGCAGTTCAAGCAGCGCAGAATCAAACTGGGCTTCACGCAGGCGGACGTCGGCCTGGCTTTGGGAACCCTTTATGGAAACGTGTTTTCACAGACTACGATCTGCAGGTTCGAGGCCTTGCAGCTCAGTTTTAAGAACATGTGTAAGCTCAAACCTTTGCTAAACAAGTGGTTGGAGGAGGCAGATTCCTCCTCTGGGAGTCCCACCAGCTTGGACAAGATTGCGGCGCAGGGGAGGAAGAGGAAAAAACGAACTTCCATCGAGGTAAGCGTAAAAGGAGCATTGGAGAGTCATTTCTTAAAGTGTCCAAAGCCCGCAGCATCAGAAATAACCGCACTGGCGGACAGTCTTCAGCTAGAAAAAGAAGTGGTGAGAGTTTGGTTTTGTAACCGAAGACAGAAAGAGAAACGTATGACGCCTCCCGGAGGACCGGTACCGGGAGGAGAGGACGTATATGGGGACACGCCGCCTCACCACGTGGTCCAGACATAAGTTCAATGAAACAGCAACGGATCGTCTTGAACTTTGTTGACTATGAAACCTTTCGTTTCTTCTCTAATTACTTACTAAGCACCGGGCTGCTGTGGGCGATGCTGTGCACTTATATTCAGACACCGCAGGCGATGGAGTGAGTATCTTAACACGGACGGCAGCTCTGAGAGGGGAAGGACTGTCCTTAAAACGGAGAAGAAACTCTCCGGTACACGCCAGGCACTGTGACACTTCCGTAAAGTGTGCTCCCACATTTTGGGGGAAACACCTCATTATGGGTTACACTGACAATAACATTACTGGAACCAGAAGACTTTTGTAGAAAATACAGAGAAACACTGAATGGTTTCTATTATTTTTGGATAGTTTCCATGTCCTTGATATGACAGACGAAGACTAAGAATTGTATTCCGTAATTAAACGCCATCTTTACCTTCTCATCGGGATCTGAAGGGCTGAGTGTCGGCTATGGTGTTGGTTACTTGTCCGTCTCGAGACATAATGAGATTCACGCGTATTTATTATTATTATTATAATTATTATTATTATTACTACTACTACTACAACATAGTATTTTCATAATAGTTGAATCCATTCATTACATGCTAGACAATGTTCCATTAAAACAGTCCATGTTTATGTACAGACTGGTACGGAGTTACCAAGGAGAAACAGATGCGCGTTCCCGATTTAAGGCCATCAGAGCGCGCAGTACACAAAGACGCACAGCAGCAGCTTGCGGAAAGGGCACGGAGGGGTTGTCTGGCTACTGAGCCCGGACACTTTTTGCCGGTATTTCACCTCAGACGTCTAACGGAACACCCTGCTCACTTGTAAATACGTCACGGTTCAGTTTCCTTCACAATGGAGTGCTTTCATTTAAACGATTTCTAAAACAAAACAGGTTTTAACTGT